TATTTGACGCGGTGTTCGGCCAATTTGTACTGGTTGATCTAGCGTTGAAGTGTGGACTCTCCTTGCCATCGGGAAGGTCGGGGCTATCGTTGGCGATGGACTTTTTGCAAAATTTTTACGACTTTTACGAACCCCCTCCTTCACGACAGATTTCACACAATCCCTTCTTCACAACTTATTTCTCTCTCGAAGAACACCGACCGTCGAGCTGGGGAGGGGATATAGCTACCAGTTAACCGCAAAAAATTTTCTCTTCTTCCCTTTTCCTTTCTATCATTCTCCCTCTATTTTACCTGTTTTACCTGATTCTTGCCACTGCAACGTTCTGCTTGGGGGGGGCGGGGGGCGGCTCTCACCTCATCACATATAATTCATGCTACCGAAACAAGTACGACCCCCCCCCCCACCACAAACTTCAGCAAACTACGACGACCCCCCTTCGAAATTGTACCAACGTAGGGTTGACCCTGCCATCAGGAAGCATTCGTGATTAGATGAGCCCTAAATTCTGTAAATTTCTGTGGGCATGAATATAAAAATAACGCTGACAGCTAGACTAGCCGCCGCTTTGATGTAAATGGGGATAAGGCTAATTGCCTAAACTAATAGTGACTAGTTTTGTCACCCTCGTGTTTATCTGAAAAAACGGATCGGTGCTCTGTGGATTCCGAGTCATCTTAATGAGAATCTTAAGTCATGTGAGAGGATCTGTTTGCAAGAAGCAGAAAATGGTATGAGAACGGAGAGAGAGCGTTTTATCGCCATCCATCTGAGAACTAGAGCGAATCCTACTGGGAATAGATGCCCGTTGAGTGAGACCATCTGTGGGACAGATTGATGCAGTTGTCAGCTGTAAATCATCTGTATCAATAGCAGAATCTTAGTCCCTTCAGCACGCCCTCACGACCTGCCTTCATGTGACGACTGAAACGAAAACATGGGAAATTACAGGTTTTGAACAGAGAGAACAGAAGCAAGGAACAAATGGCTCGGAAAAAGGAAAGGATGGTCGCAACCTAAGTGAAGGAATGTCAGTGTTGAAAACCACCATACAAAAAAGGGTTTCGTTCTGAGAAAAGAGATTCAGCCTTAAAATTTGTTCTTCCAGGTTCATTTTGGTTGGTTGGTATTAACAGTGACTGACTGAAAATAAGGAGGAATGTGGGAAAACGCGCGTAACACGACCTCCGGAAGAGCAGTTGTTTTGTGTTCGTTGCCACAAGCCTTGTCTGCTCACTTCGCTGTTTGCAATCAAGATGTGTCTGTTTTTGAGCCACTCACCCCAACCAAGAAGATCTCAGCTCAAAATTACATCTAACGTTTCTCTCAGCAGAGAGTTGTTCAGAAAGGTGGTGCTCAAAGTGCTCATCCCAGTCGCCCGTTCCGAAACCTTTCTTCTCAGGAGTAGGCCTGACATGAGATGCTGGGATGGACTAGAAATATTCGGAAAAAGTAGTAACCTAAGCTGAAATGGAAGAGGCGGAAATATCGGAAAATTGAAGATCTATCGTTCTGGATCGATATCTGGTGCTCTATTCCTTCCAAAATCATCATAGCGAAAAGATACACCAATTAACTTCTATTCCAAACTAAGATGAGTGTCAGACGATGTCACTCTACCGTGCAGCTTTTGAGAATTGCTCATAATTTATTGGTGACAGATAGTTCGGGGTGCTGATTGCTCCTATTGGAGCTAAATATTGCTTTTAAATAACTTGGTACATTTACACCGGAACCTTTCCTTCGCGTGAGTTTGGCCATGGCCAACTCTCCTCCGACTTTCTTCAGCTCCTCTAAGAACCACCATGCTTAAATCTCTCACTGATCTGTAACCCATAACGCTCTCAGTCAAGCGCTCACCATCTCTCACGCCTACAAATAACAATCCACGCCTCCATCTCCCGCTCTCATGTTTGAGAATTCCGCAACCCAAGCCGTTACGCTCCGTCCCAAAACCGTGCGACCAGTGCCCGTCTTGTTTCTGCGAATCAACCTCTGAATTGGTTCAAAAAGCAGGTTGTTTACGGTGTTCGATTGCAGGCCTCCCCGTTAGAGGAGGACAACAGTCGAGTAACGGTGTCGAACAAGGACATTTGTTTGCACGAAGTGTGACATGTGTGGGAGAAGAACAAGCAGTGAACTGCGTGAGCTGAAACGGGTTCCAACAAGCGCGCTCCAGGCATCACCAGACGCACTTTTTTATAGAAATCCTCCATGAGATGCGCGAGAAAACCCTTTGACATCAGCCACATGAGAAAGCTAAAAAGGTTCCGTCGTTCGAGATCAACAATGAAAAGACTTGACAGCACCCTCAGCAAGTGCAATCCTAAAATCGTTCTTTTTCTGCTTTTTCCGCTTTGATAAAGGGAAAATCATTTTCCACTTCCAAAATGACGCATGCAAGATAAGCTGAAATACTACGAGAATAACTTCAAGTAGAGAAGCATTGAATAATCTCAGGTTATAGTGACAACATTTAAAAGTATATCAAAGAAACAGTATAATTATGAACCCAGCAAAAGGTTTTATAGCTACTCTCTCTGCGAAAATGTTATGGGTAAAGGGGCGCGTTTTCCTATGAACAAGATTGTTTTAATGAGAATGGTAATAACACTAAGCATGTCCTCCAAGATGAGCCTGCATTTTCCTTTCAGGTGGAAATTCAGAAGCGTCAAAACGGGTATCAACAGAAACTGTTCATCTAATTCCACGACCCATATCCCAAATACGGTGCTTGTCCCTAATCTGGGAATGGGTCCCAGCAAGCTGCACGGGGGTGTATGTGACCTGTTACTGCTGAAAAGGATTCGATTTACAGTGAGGCTGAAGTTATGTGCATTTCTACCACTTCAAAGAGTTATTCTGAAACTATAACTATTGAAAGCGAATGTGCGTAGCAGATCACATATTCCTTCACTAGACGGCTACCGTTTTTAAGGTCTTCATGGACTTTACGGGCGATGGACCTTACGTGAACCCGAAGACTTCGAGGAAGGTGCAAGGGCACATTTTCGTTGTCATCTAGCCGGAGTCTAGCCTATCCTTGGGTGAATAACGGTCTAGGAGTCTTCGACCATAGCTCTGTACTGTGTGAAAATAGTGTTGAGAACGAATGTACATACGCGCGGAGAGCGCGACTGAATAGGCGAGAATCCTCGACGGTCCGTCGACAAATCCTCGACCTGATTTTCACCCTGCTACCTAGTGACATCTCAAGGCATAGCATGCGGTGGCAAAATCCGAAAAAAAAATTCATAGAGTTCGATGCAAAAGAAAAGGTCTCCCAAAGCTGATAGAGGGGAAAACGATGATTTTATATGGAAGAAACATTTCATCGAAGGATTGTGCGGTGCAACCTCAAGGGTCTTTGATATGTTCTCGATTGCTTTTTCGCTCATCACTTGAGCAGACTAGGTGGCATCTCAAGGAAGTGGATCTAAAAGTTGCTACCTAGCGCGAGAAACATTTTATCCACGAGTTGATCGTGGATAAAATGACAGTGTACTGAAGGGGGAGGGGGCATTACAGTGAGAAACCAACGCTTCTGAAACCACGAGAAATATTCACAGTTCAAATCATGCCAAATGACCTTCTTGTAGAAGCAAATAGTTCTCACATACCAAAGCTTCTTTCCCCTGCTGAAAAGTTTATTATTTGTGCCAAAATTCGCTGTCGCCCCCTCCCCACTCAGTACACCAGTAAAAATCGTATATTCAAGCTATCAGAAGGGCCCAAAAGCTTTGAATGTGTGCCTC